TTTTTAATTCTGGCGTTGAGTTTATAATCTAATTTTTATCCCAAAATTGTGAAATGAACTGGGGGATAAAAATTAGAATTTAATAGCAACACAAGAATAAAAAAAATATTATTTAATTTTTTATCAAAAAAATTAATTTACGCTGTGAATTAAATTTTTAAATCCCGTATTTGTTTTTTTTTCTCAATCCGGTATTTACGATAATTTATTTTTTAATTTCTTAATCTCGTATTTGGAAATACAAAATAAAAAAAAAGATATTTAAAATTCAATCTTATTTTTAATGCATTATTTGGRTATGGTAATTTCAGCTTTATTTTTATTTTATTTTTTGTTTTAAGCTACGTGAATGAAAATGTAAGTTTAGACCTAAACAATATTTACATCTTAATATATGAGTGTATTTACAAATATATAATAATAATGTTAATTTATAGTTTATGCTGCGTTATGACATTTGTTTTAGTTCAAATTTATTAAATTATTTTTTAATTATTTTATGAGATCTTTATTATTTATTACTATTTCATTTTAAATGATTATGATAAAAACAATAATAAAAGGATAATTTTGTTGTTATTTTTTATTTATTTTGAATAATTGTACCTAAAAGAAAATTTTGTCAAAAGAAAGTAAGAGTAAGAGAAACAATTGAAACCTAACTTTATGAAAAGTGAGCTTTCATAAAACATTATAACACAAGACAAGAAAAAACATTAACTTCGGCTGCACCGAAGCTATATACSSTTCACAGATGCATTTCTTATAGCCTAAAAGGKTATAAAAAAAGCTTATCTTGATTTTGATCGGTCAGTTTGAATGGTAGCTATATGCTATAGTGGCCAGAATCTAAACAATTTGTTCGGAGACARCTACAACGGTTTGGATAAGAATCCATGCCGACTTTCGTGAATGTATCGCATCAAACAAAACAGTTTTCGATACAAGGACTCGATTGCGATCGGCCAGTTTGTATGACAGCTATAAGCTATAATGATCCGAAGTCAGCCTATATAGCAGAGGCAGAGGACATGAAAATTCTGACCAGTAGGTCTAACACTTTCGGTAAATATATGAAAGCAGGTTGAGGTATGTATGTATGTTACGCAGAGCGTAATAACTTCTTCTTTTGGGCTACTTCTTTTTTGCACTCTTAAGTCATGTGGAGAAAAAACTTCAAATATATATGTATGTATGTATTTGTTTTTTGCTTACAGTCAGACGCTGTGCACGCTTCCAACTATCTTTTTTACTACCACGCGATGAATGTGTTGTTATGCGTGATATTTGACGAGCTAATTTACTGCCATTTTCTAATTGGGCTATGACGGGTTTGGGCTTTGCGGTGACCTGTGTTGGATGCGTGGTTGCCAGATAACACAGTGCACAAATAGTGCATATGTCAATTTTACAATTC